ATATTAAAAATGTTGTTTACTCAAAAAAATCAGGTAACTTTCTATCATCTAAAAGTTGTTAATCTGGCAAAAAGTTGGTTAATTTAGCAACACTGCGTTTGATCGTATTCGATATTGATATGTACATGGGATATTATAGAACTATCTCGAATTAGCATTGGATATTTTCGGGATTTATCACTGCGATCTGTAATTGGTTATTCGATAAAAAGAAATGTGGCCAATAACATACACATGAGATCCGTTTAATCACACGTCGACTAATAATAGCTAATTTTTGTTACCTTTTGTTTGCAAATATGTGTTGTATCTAGTCTATTGAAATTTGCTGTTAGATGTAAATAAATATAAATATCATCAAATCGCAAAGATTTCCGCGCACAAGAATATTGAATTTTACAAAGGTACGTGCAGGGTTTCGACGGAAGTGCTAGTGTTTCCTCCATAATTCAGCCATTGTCGGCACAACGGCGTTGCTGCTTCATTCTCGCTTCACCTATATTATCTCGCACGAGCACGGATAATGTGAGCACTTGACAATACGAGTATAATATTATGGCGAACATTTTAAAATTCCAGTGATGTATTGAAGACGAAGTGTAGTTCTATAATATGACTCTTCTATAATATGATTTCTAAAGAATTACTTTTACATTAAAAGTAAAAAGATTCATGTAAAAATATACAATTGAATTAAAAGAAGTTTTGAAAGTAATTTAAAAATCATTAACGAGTATCAAATTTAATAGAAAAAAGAACTTGAATGAATTGTTCCTTTTTGTACATTATACATAAATAGATCTAAGAAATCCAACAAAACGGGCTTTTTTCGTAGTATTTCTTAATTCCTTTCCTTGTGATTAAAATAAGAATTTAATTGAGACACGTTTAAACGAGAGGCAATGTAATTTATAAATTCATAATAAAATTTCTTTTCCTTTTGCATAAGATTTCTTATTGTGCTCCAGTGTTATTGTTGTTTAGTATCTAGAGAGCAAAGGGCTCGCTCAGTTTGTTGACGACGCGTTGTAGGGCACCAAAAGGCGCGGTTCAGTAGCGGCGGTGACGCTCTACAACTCTCACAAACTCTAAATAACAAAGTGGGGTGAACCATCCTGGCTGAAAACAAATAGCCGACCTTTTGCCTTCTTTATGAGACCCTTGTTAACTTGTCCTTAATAAATTATTTATTTCCAGAGCGACGGTGCTGTTGTGTACATTTTTGCTAATTTTATTTATTATTTCCAAATAAGTTTTTACGAGGTGGCCACTTTATGGGCGGAATTTATTGCATCTTGAAGTACTTTTTAAATGTCTTTACATTGTGAACGACCCGCAATATTTTGACTATAATTTACGTTCCGTCCTACTGTTACTGTTTCCTGGAAACCTGGCCCACCTTCCACTCTCCTTTCTAGAGAAAATCTAATTAAACCTTACTCTAACTCGTATATTTACAAATAGCAAACAAATACTTTTAATGCGTATAACATGAGATTTAAATTATATTTTTGTTATGTTTATGTTTACGTCTTCTTAGTTTTATTTTTCATGATATTTGAGTCTCAATAGTCTATATAATAGATATTTGAGTAGTCAATCAGTAGTTTAGTTATTTATTATCTTGCGTGAATATTATGTTTTCTTTTTTCCATAACGAAATAAAATATTTTACTTTCATGATTTATTGTTGGTTATTGTTTTAAAACGATAATTAATGATTTTAAAATATTGTTCATTTCCGTTTTCAATGTAACTGATAGTCGCTGTAAATATAACTTGAACCTGTACTTATGGATCCTACCAAGTACAATCCTTTATTTGAGGGATACCGATGTGAGTTCTTTTAGAAGATAAAATTTTATAAAATTACTAGCTGACTCGGTAAACGTTGTTTTACCATATACATTATTTCTAGAACTATACATGAAAATAATACTACAATTATTATATTCGATTGTCATCCTGCAACACTATTGCGGCATATAAAAATTGCGATTAAACAACAGGGGTTGATCGTAAAAGCGTGAAAATTTTAATTTGTATGTATTTTTCCATGCTAAATCATAATAAAATAAAAATAAAAAAAAATTGTCAATAAAATAAAAAATAAATATTTAGGGGTGGGTCACTCTTATAATTAGGAGATATAAAAAATATATGTTGGCCGATTCTCAGACCTACCCAATAGGCACACAAAATTTCATAAAAATCGGTAAAGCCGTTTCGGAGGAGTTTGGTAACAAACACCGCGACACGAGAATTTTATATATTAGATTCACAATATAAGATAATTATTTAACATAATACAGATAGGTATAGATACGAATTAATTTGTTTTGTTTTGGTGAATTATAAAAAGGTATTCTTTTAGAGTTTAAGAAGAAAATACCCCGCAGCGTCCCTTTGTAGACCGAATCATGATAATTTATATACATTTCTTAAAACAAAAGGGGAAGAAATTACGGCTTAATTAAAAATATTATTAGCCTCTTGTTATTATGTTTTATAATATATTTAGAGACTCAATAAAGTGATGTAAAGTAATTAATTTTTAATAAATAAGAGAAATTATATTTATAATATAATGTGTATCGATTAAAATAAATATCTGGATCCCACTTTTCTGTGTACACTTACAAGGGACGAGTACAAAGAATTTATCCTTAAGATTTTTATTATACAAAGCTTGGATATTTACGTTAAAAATTTTAAGCATAAATTTTACTGTTGTTATTTTTAACGAAAATAAGAATTTCAGTGGAATATTAAAACACTTACCGACGTTTAAATTTAAGTATGTTGTCTTTCTAAATTATTACTAAGGCTTTTTAAATATGTAGTATTATTTGAAATTGAGAGGCAGGATTTTCACTTTCTGCCTTTATTTTTACTGTTATTATTATCGTTTTACGAAAGTGTGAGGATAGAGACGTTTTAAATGTTCACTCACATGTTTATTGAGTATTTATAAACATAGAGATTTTGTAATTCTATACGTTCTTCTCTGTTATCAATAAGCAATTCATTCTCACTTATTTGAAAGATAAGCGAGGAAGAATGATTGCATTGTTGTAATATTTAAACTTTGGAATGGAATACCTTTATTGTAATTGTTTGTATTTATAATAAGTTTTCTGATGTAATTTTTTGGAAGCAGCAATAAAGATTATCTATCTATCTGTAGATCGGCGTAGAATACAGAGAAAATCTATAATTCTTCAATTACCTATTGAGTCAACAAAATCTGTTTAAACTACAAATTAGTTAATATGTTTCTAAATGTTTATAATACAATAAAATGGATAAAGTACATTATAATATTTATTTGTATATTCATATTAATACGTGTACATTTTATACGAAGTACACTATCTGGTTAAAGGTCTCACTTCATGGTCATAAATATTATTATAATCATATACCAGTTAAATGCACTTTCGTCTTCACCCATTATTTTCGCAATACAATACAAATAATATTCTATTTAGTGATACATATATTAAAAAGTCTGCCTATATAAATCTTTAAAAGGCAATTCCCTTGCCTGCTTCCCAATAGGTAAATCGTTAATTCGCTTGCGTCCTTAACAATAAAAAAGACTAGGGGATTACAAAAGTCCTATAGAAAAGGATAAGTGGAAAATAACGGGACAAAACTGGATTGCGATTACCTAAAACATATCAAAATGGAGAAGGTTGAAGAAGGTCTTGATGTAGACCTGTGTATAATACTTATCTATACTTACCTATTTATTTTCTTAATCGTAAATAAACATGATATAACAACAGAATGTTAGGACATTTAACGATCACTTATTTACCGAAATGATTTTCCGTTTCAGTCACATGAAGAAAAGTGTTTGATTTAGCAGCACTTGAGGCCGGACCTTCCGCTGCTATAAATTTTATTGTGTTATGATTTAGGGGCGCGTATGCGATTTTATGGTAAACACTTTGCTCTTTGTGTTCAGAATGTGATTTATCGTTAGGGCCAACGTGAGATGTTGTCAATGCTCACTGGTTTGAATAAATATTGCTCTATTCTACTTAGTTTGAAAGACAAAAGATATATAAGTAGTAAAGAAATAAAAGTATATTTTATAAAAAGATATATTTTTTTATTTTTCTCACAGTGAAGTAAAATTTTTTTATACAATTTATAATTGGAAACGAGATGACGGTTTTACTGAAATTTCAATACGACTCCAGAAATGTGAGAAAATCCTTTATACTGTGTTTTTTAGGAACAGTTATTGGTGTAATTTTTGGATACTTTAAAACGAATTAGATAAGTGACTATCGTAATTGCAAAAGGTTGAGGATAAGAGAATCGTTTTTAGGAATTAATTCTAAATAAAGTCTATATTTATTTTTAAGGTAAAAAATTTATAAAAAAGTGCCAAAAATGATTCATAAATGACTGGGAGGACATTGTCACAATTATTATCGTTCATAAAAGACGATAAAATGTAATAACGTAACATTTCTTATGTTAATACTTTTCTATAGTGAAATATAGCACCTTATAAATGTATCCTCTTGCAAAATGATGGTATTTTAATTTGAACAAAACAAAATTAGTCTGCCCTAAAAGTTGCGTCGTACTTACCAGTAAAATTCGCTATAAATAAAACGTGTCTGTAGCAGGAATTAGCAGTGAAGTAATTAAAAGTTTTTATCTTCGGAATTCTTTATTAATAACTTATTATTACCGTTTGTGGTTGATTTAGGGCGAGTAAGTAGGTAATCCGCGGAGTTATATGATGCGGAAAATGTAATTACGTTAAAGGGTCGGAAATTCACAAACATTGTTGAGTTATAATTCTTTCATGATATGATTTAGAACATGAAATACTTACTTAAATTACTTTGTATCTCATGAATTTTCTACAAGTTGAATTGGGCTGTGTATAAAAGTTCAGTAACCTTTAGTATAAAGAGAGACTTGTGTATCCATAGGTACAACAAACATATATCGGGTTGAATACATAATCTATGAGTGATGTTATGCATGCCAGAAAAACCCAGGTAATGTTAATAAACTAAGATTTTATTATTTTAGAAAGAAATAGTTGTATAGTTTAAACAGGTCATTTGAATATGTTTATTCTTGTATTGCTATATCTTAAGAGTGTTTACATAATTATCTAGTTAGAAGGCGTAACCAGTTATCCCAAGTATCTGCTAATAAAAGTACTAACAACAACCAGTTTATTAAAAGTAAGCTTCATTAATTTTTTTTTTATAATACAGAGGGCAAACAAACATGCGGTTTACCTGATGGCAAGTGACTATGCAGGTGTGCTGCCGCCTTTTAAAAGAGAATATGCTCTTTTCTTGAAGGCTATGATATCGTATCGGTTTGGAGATACTGCTGCTGGAAGTTGATTCCGAAATTGGTTGTTCGTGGAAAAAAGTGTCTTGAAAACGCACCCATCGTGCGAGCGACGTGCGAGGACCGCCACTCATCTAGATGGTTGGGATGGAAAAATTTAGTTTGTGGCAGGTTGTTATTATTATATAATATAATTGATTTTTGTAAGTAATAATCAAACGGGCTCTACTATCAATCTGAAACATTAAATTTTTACTAATATTATAAATGTGAAACTGCGTTTGTTCTTTACCTTTTATTAATACCTTGACGACTTAAACAATTATTATGAAATTTAGTATAAACATGCTGCATTGAATGGAGAAGGATATAAGCTACTTTTAATCATAGTCACTTGGACGAAGTTGCGGGTAAAAGCTATATATAAATAGTTAAAAATAATTTAAGTTATAAAAATAGTAAATTCTATTAGGATAATTTTTCATATAACCTTAAAAATAAAGAAATATTTTGGAATAATATAATATCAGCTTTAACTTTTTTTTATGTAATTTCGATTGTAAGTAATAATGATGTCCCTGTGATTGATGTTCTTTAGGTACAGGTTCGTACTTAGTGTAAAATTCATGATGTGAGCACATTGAGTGTGTGTTAAATTTTTTGTTGCCTCTAGAAAATAATCTTAAAAAATAAAAATATACTTTTTTTAAAAAAAAATAATTAATTACGCCAATTGCGGTATTGACATCAAAAACAATTTTCATTTTATAAAAAAATCATAATTCAGTATCTATATTTAGTCATACAAGTGAGTTGGTTTATTTGTTACGATCGTTATAAAATTAAGTATTCATGTACTGTTTAGAATGGAGAAGGACGTTAGGCTACTATTTATTCAGGTTAATCAACATGTGCCAATCACGCGGGCGAAGTTGCACCTAAAAGTATGGTGTTGCGTAAACAAGTTTTTTACTAAGCGAATTCAAAAAGTAGGAAATTCTCATTGCGTCAATTTTTTTTTGTATGTTATTTTGTTTTTTATTTTTATGCCACTTAGAATGGCAAATAAGCTGATGGCCTACCTGATCAGCAGTACCATGGACATAACAGAGTATACTGTTTCGCCCATGTTACCTTCCTTGCGTTGCCATTGCTGAGGACTCTGGTGTTACTCCTCTGTACCCTGTCAATTCACTGCCATATCTCACCCTTCAAACTGAAACACAACCATGCAAACACAACTGCTTCACGGTAGAAACATGAATGGGACAGAGGTGCCTAAGCAAACGACTTTTGTACAAAGTCTCTCTCTGGTAAATATAAATATGTTACATAATGTCTTCACCAATTCTATGTAGATTTGATAATTCTTTTTGCAATCGAAAAGATTTACTCCCGTGTTGGTTTCTTGCTTATTCACTTTGTTACATTAAATAATAATTAAGTATGGACACCAAGTGAAAAATAAGTTGATATGTATTATTATTATTTATTTCACAATAAATTGGACTAAATTCTATCCGCGACTTCGTTCGCGGTAAATCTCAAATGACTCTATTCGAGTCAGTAAAGTAAGTAAAGAGTAGTCTATGTTGTTCTCCACCTTAAATATTAAATTTTACGATGATCGGTTGAGTCATTAAAGCGTGTGATTAAATGTGATATTAAGTTATTTAGTTAGCTATTTCTAACTAAATAACTTAATATCACATTTTCAAAAATGTCCTTTATAATGTAAACTTATGTTAAAAAGGCCTGTCCGTTTATTTATTCTATTCCGCCAAAATTATAGTCAGGTTCACTAATTTTCGATGTTACATTTGAGAGAGAATTTTATGCGATTAATACCTAATTACAAAGAAGGTATATTTTAATATATTTTATTAGGCAGTTAATTGCGAGGTTGCGGGCCGCTCGCCCAATGTCGGAATTACTCTGCCGATTTTCCAAATTGAATTAGGTAACTTTTAAATTCGTACGTTAAATTTTTATTTTAATTTAATATATATTTTTATAAGCATATTTTTTTGTTGCACTCAGATAATAATAATATCAGTTATTGGAAATAATGTGAGCACAGTAGAACTAATCTTTAAATGAGATCTCTTCCAGTCAACCCGGTTATATATATTATTTATAATTTTATTTTATGTAAAATAAAGGTTTAATTTAGAACACACTATAACCTCAGGCTTGATTGACTAAAAGACCAGAACTTAACTATTAGGTTTACACCGGTTGAAATCGATATTTTTTTTATATTAAGCGTTGTGAAAATTAGCAAACATTTTGAATCTCCCGTACTAACTTGGCAGCTGGATATGTAACACATTTGTGGAAATATTTTCGAATCTAAATCAATTTTAAACAATAAAACAAGGATAATCTATACACATATCTCTGTAACATTCTCAGAAGAGAGGATCTAATATAACTAATTCATCATCCATTTATTTTCATAGAGAATAGTTTAGTCAGCATAGATGTAGGTATCTACTTGTTATTGTAAGTTGAGGCGGAGCATCGAATATCTTTAGTGGAGCGCACTCCGTTGTTTTCGTCAGCAGGTAGTAATTACCTGCTTGCCAGCTTGCTGCTGACAGATCCAATTACATTAAAGGGATCGAACCTTGTTTCATTCGACGACATACTTTGTTATTACGTTGAATTGTTTATAGTTTGTTGGTTAAGAGGTCCTTCTTACTAAGAGTCGCAAACTAATAATAATCATTGATATTGTAATCTTTTGTAATTTATTTTTATAAATAAAGTCGTCAAATTGTTAAAGTTATAAATTTGAAATTTATGAACATAAGTTTATTTATGATTATAACTCTTTATGAAGAAAAGAAAACCCTATGGTAAAAAAATGGAATGAGAAATACCGTAATAGTAGCGTGGGCAATGCCGTGGCAATTAGTTTATATATGAGACAATTTAGAATCTATTAAAAATGTATGCTAGTAGAATAATACTTTTCATCCTAATTTACGTAGGAAAAATCTTTACAGTCTACTTTATTCTATTCTATAGAGTTTTAGTATAAACATTGAATGACGGAGAAGAAATGTTCTTGCATGGCGACCCCGTACGGGAAAACCCTCCATTAGATGAAGTGATCTCAAATGCAATGTAGGGATTCAGTGAATGCAGGTGGCTCAGGACCATTCCTTATAGCAGTCTATGTTCTATGTTCAACAGATAATGGCTTAGACGATGATCAAAATTGAACATAATTTAAGGGTTAAGAAACGGATTGTTAAAATTTCACGATTTTGCGTTTCTTAGCAAGGTGGCCTCTTAACTGTAATAACTATATAGAAATACAAAAGTTTGTCGCTGACACCTTATACATATTTATAATGTATCCTATAATTAAATTATTCTGCCTAAATTTACTGGATAAAGAGGATGCCGTAGCCTTGTGTTCTATTATCTGTATTTAACTCGTACACGCTGGATCTTGCGAACTATGGGACATAACTATTATAAATCCTATAGGTTTAAATGCAATCAACATCTGAAACTTTGTGTCAATTTAAACTTTCAATTAACCGCCAAACTGGATTTGATTTTTATTAATTTCTCAAAGAAGATTATCATTCACCTGTATTATTTTGCCTCTATGTAACGCGATATCTTCTGCGCAAATTTTTCTGCAGTCAATTAGATTTACTTCAAATCAATTTGTTTATTTTATTCATTAAATAAAAGATAAGAAATACCTTATTAACTTCTTAGACAAAAAATATAGTTTTGAAAACTTTATCTGCGGATTTAGCTAAGAAAATGTAGCACTGAAAGTAATTAACAATTTGCGTGTATTTTTGTTAGGCTTATTTATCTTCTATAATTATATAGATACTTTATTCATATCACATGTGAATTTCTCGTAGATACATAAATCATTTTCAGCAGCTAGTTAAGTTGATAGAGTTCTTTCATAAGAGGCAAAAACTGTTCAGTTTAATCAAGACGGGCACGGAGGGCGTCAATCAGGGTACCTCGTTACCGAAACGACCGGTAATTTTCTTTCACTGACCGAACGCGATTTCAAACACCATCTCTACTCTTATTGATTAGCGTCGTCTCTATGTTACATGTGAATATTGATGTATGTTTAATGTTATTTTCGTACTAGATTTTTTTTCTAGGTATTCGATGTTATATTAAGAGTATTTGGCCGCGCGGCTCTCGATAATTCTTGCTCCAATGAGAATTTCCAAAAACTCTTTCTAAGTAGATGTTTATGTGAAGAAAGATTCGTGCAAAACTTCAGATTCTTAGTATCAATAGATTTGGTTATATATTAATATATCCCTTTTCGCCGTTTTCAAGACTATAAGTTCATAAATAGTAACCAACTGTTAAATGGTCGACTCCGTATGGTTTAAAAAAACTATAAAAGAACATTATTCTCGAAATTAAAATTTCGTTCTATTATTTACAATAATTAAATGTTTGAAAGACATCTCTTTAAAAATATCCCTGAACTCATGAAGTTTTAGTGAAGGGGATTGTATCAGCATTAATTCAATTTTATTTTCGGTATAACAGACCAAAACGAAATTAGATTTGTATGATTCTAGTTTGCCATCAGTCAGACATAAATGTCATTACGTTATAAATATTGCTGTATGCGGAGACCGATAAATTACGTTTCTCAGATGCCTAAACCTATATATAAATGGTAACAGATCTCATGGTCGGACAAGGAATTACGGGCTACATACCGCGATCGAAAACATGCGAGCTAAAGCCTTCCGTAGTAAATATATAAGATACAGCAATGTTAAAAAGAAATAGAAAAGATAACCTTGGTCACAATCGAAAAAATCTAGATCGAAGAAGAAAACAAGATGCTAAATACTAATATGAAATATAGTCTTAGCGATTAGTAATTATTATAATAATCTAATCAAAATGTATACGTGTAAGCAGAATGTAGTTACAAAATATTTACTAAAGTGAATGTAGTACACAACATGCATGTTACGCATGCTGTTTAAATAAAATATTACATTGCTAATCACTAATTTAGAGCGAGGTAACAAGAGGCTTAACGACAATGAATGCGATTTACCGTAACATAATGCGATCATTAGAGTCATTTGTTCAACTTCCACGAGCTCTC